CATTCAAACGCTGGCAAACCATTGTGAATCTGATGATCTATAAAGACCCAGGTAATACCAAAATCCACAGACTTCGAGTGATACACTTGTATGAAGCAGACTTCAATTTTCTCCTTGGCTCCAAATGGCGCAGTGYCATCCAAAAGGCCAGAGCTGATGGTACTCTCCATCCATGTCAGTTTGGTGGAGCACCAGGCAAAGAAGCACAGACTGTTACACTCATGGAAAACTACGTTTTGATTACTCTCAATTGACAAGGACACCCTTTGCTAATTTTGACAATGACGCTTCTTCCTGTTATGATCGAATCCTCACTTCTCTCTCAAGCCTTTCAGGGAGAGGTTATGGTATTCACAGGGACGTTATTGGAGTCCATGCACGCACACTCAAACGAGCACACTACAAATTGAAAGTTTCCAACCGTATCACTAATGCATCTTATCACCACTGTCCCAGATTTCCAATTCATGGCACCGGACAAGGGTCTGCCAACAGTCCAGTTATTTGGGCTCTCCTGTCAAGTAGATTGTTTGAGGCTCATAACACTGAATCCTATGGCATGACATTCTCCAGTCCAGATGGCACTCTCTCCTTCTCCATGTCAATCATTGGTTTTGTTGACAACTCCACTGTCATCACCGCCTCGCCCCAGATGCTTCCCTTGATGATCTCTTGAAAAGACTCCAATCTGACGCACAACTATGGCATGACCTTCTTTGGTGTTCAGGGGGGAAGTTAGARCTTCCAAAATGTGGCTTTCACCTSTTATACTATGACTTCCAATACCTCTCTGAATCTCCACTGGATATGCTTCCTCGTGTACTTCACACTACTGGTGATATCTTCCTGACTAATCCTCTTGGCGACCCAGTCCAAATTGCTTCAAAGAACATATTCACTCCACGCAAAAATCTTGGCCACCACAAGTCTCCATGTGGCTCATACACAACTCAGTTGAATGCATTAWTATCCAAAGCTGATTCAATCTGCTCAGCCATTCACCGATGCTCCCCCAACAGACCTACAGCACGCATGCTTTATGAAACAGTTTTGCGTCCTGCTATTGAGTATCCCCTGCCCCAATCTTTTCTGTCTTCCACCCAACTGCTCAAGTTGGAAAGGAAATATTTTCCACACATTCTCTCACTCTGTGGTTTYGCCCGCACTACTGCCAGAGCGCTCCTGTTTGCCCCCGTGTCTGCAGGAGGAGCAGGTTTCATCCCTCTGGAGGTTATCACAGGCAGAACCTATGTCACCCATTTCCTGAAACATTAGAGATCCAAAGATATTGCGGGGAAACTTCTTAGGACTGTACTATGGTGGTTTCAATTATTCTCCGGCCTCTCCAAACCTGT